AGGGAATGGAAGCGTTCTGGTGGAAATGATGTTTTGTGGATAACTGAGTTATTGTGAGAGAAACAGCATCAAACGCATTCTGTCGAGGTCTACCTCACCCAATCAGACGTGTCCAGGTGGAGATGGGTTTCCTCCAGGCACGAGGTTGGTAGAAAAACCTCTGGCACCACCAGATCGGTCCTGGGATGTCTTCTTGGGTCACTCGGTGTACGAAGCGTTTGGCAGATGAACGTTCTCGTCTTTAACCTAACTTCAGAAATCAGTGACTCTGGTGGTCTTCGTTAGCTGGTTTAGTTCGTTTGTTCTGTAGCTCTTCTGGTCGGCGTGACAGAACAGCAGGCGGAGGTTCAGGACGGCCGTTCCCTTTCCTCGTGGAGGTGGTTCAAGAACTGATCTTGAATCTGTGACGGTTAGTTTTACCAAACTCTCGCAGGACCACTCCCCCTCTCTCCGGAAGGAAGCTTGCTCATGCGTCATGCTCATGTGAAGCAGTTATTGTTTATCTGAACTCTGTTAGCTGGATAAGTGACACATCTTTAATCATTATAGTCATTTTTATCATTATACCCAAAGCATAATAATCCATTTCATGTCATTAAAACACCTTTATAATGAACCAAGTGATCGTGTTATGATGATTATTTAAACAGTAATAAAACAATGAGTTTATTAATTATTATCTAATTATTATCATCATGGCTTGAAGTGTCCTTCTTCTGGGACGGAACAGCAGATATGGTGTTATGATCTTGAGCAGACATTGTGGCTCCTTGGGTTTAATCTGTGGATTCAAAAAGTTCTGTTTGACCCAGCTTGACCCAGCTGGGCAAACGAGACCTTTGCCACACATCAGAGCCTTCATCACGCTACAAATGCTCCGTTATCACTTCAGTCTGGCAGCTTCAGCGTTTACTGGGCGTCTGCACCGTTGGCTCTGTGGCTGGTGGAGGTAGAGGATTATGGAGGAGGAGTTGCTTCACAGACGAGGAGAATCTAGCACCACTGAACGTAGACCTGTAAAAACCCATTTACAGAGTAAAACTTTAGTGCACTGAGATGAGAGGAAGATGTGTAAAATAATTAAAAAACGAGTGAAACTACAGTTTAATGCTAGTCAGGGTTTTTCATCTTTTAGTTCGTATTCACTGGGCGTACAGCCGGTTCACTTCTGGACCCAACAGCTCCACGACATTAGCCCAGCCGGCTGAGCCCCAAAACAGCCACAAGTCGTCAGTTTGTCAAACGTGGATGTACTGTGATGTCACGACGAGGCGAGGCTGCAGCTCCGACTCCTCCTGACACATGGCTGAAGTTAGTCACCAGCTGTGGGAGCCGGCCTCGCCTGCCGCTAGCAGATATTATTTCTCGTGACGCCGACATGAAATCGTTTCTCAGAGTCGTTGTCCAGACATCAGCTTGTGAACTGCGAGATGTAAATGAAGTTACCACGTTGACTCTGGTCTGAGTGAACATCTCAGACACTTTCAGACGGTAACTCAGTGTTTCCCCTAGGAATTTTTCCAGCTGTGGCGGGGGGGGGGGGGGGGGGGGGGGGGGGGGGGGGAAGGGGTGTTGATTATGACACGTCTCTAAATAAAGTAAAATTTTCCAGTGCAGATAGGAGACAACCCATAGAACCACTGATCTGATCTCATTTCAGAGAAAAATAGAACAGGTCAGATGCACCTAATAAATAAAATTATAACAAACTCAGGAATCTTTCTTTGCTTCACTGTTCTGGTGCTGAAAATATCACTAATGTGGATCAAAGGAGATATACAGATGAATGCACCTCTTATTTATTATTTGGAGACTACATTTACTGCAGCTGGCAGAGATTGTTTCTATTGATACACGAGTTTACAGAATCATTTTAAATGTTAATAGGGGAAGACTGCAGGAGGGAGCGGTAAAATACAGGAGGTCCCCAGCAAAAACAAGAAACTACGAGTCTGATGAAACCCGCTGGTTTTCCATCAGGCAGTCACGGGGCAGCTCCAACGACCCAGTGGCTGTGCTGGGTCAATGTTATCGAGCTCAGTCCGGTACCGGCTCGGCCGTGAACGAGCCGAGGCGACGTCGTGCTCTGCTTAAGAAGAGGTGTTATTTTCCCGCTTCAGAAGAAGCGTCCAACGTGTTTTTACGCTTTCTCCGAGACATGTCACGTCGCTAAGTTGTTAGCGCCGCGCGCTAACACGTCAATAGTGCAGCGTAGCCTGCTGGAGGTTTTAAGGGTTCAGATGAAAACACCCGACCTCTCAGGCTGCTCACACATCGATCTTAAGTTGTCGCTGTTGCGCTCACGCCGTAATACAGTATTAGATACGGTTAAAGTCAGACATGAAAAAATAAATAAATTTTACATGAATAAGTGATGCTTAGCCTGGTGGGGGGAGAAGAACCTGGCCTAGTAAGCACTGGAGGAAACCCTGTCAAGATCGTCAACACTCGTTTATCTTAATGCTGCTGAAACATGTAAACGTAAAAGCTTCATATCCACTGCTACCTTTCTGATTTTAAACTCAGTAACTTATGCTGCAACTGCACCTTGCCCTGCCTGCTCCTTGCTGCCTGCCGGCTGTAATCACAAGCGACAACATAGTAGTTCCCGCTGCTTCTTCGGGAAACAGCGCAAAAAAAAAAAAAATCAAACTTAGGATCTTGTAGGCGTGGTGGTGGGATGTCAGCTGTGGCGGGCCGCCACGGCTACGCCTATGTAAGGGAAACCCTGGTAACTGTTGAGGATGCTTTTGTGGGGCCGCTGGCCGCATCGAGGCTTGCTTTCTGTGGCTTTGATGGCAGATTAAAGGTCAAGTCTCAGGACTATTGAATTAAAAAGGAGAAGATCAGACCTCCTGGGTGCTTCAGCACAGCTCCACACTCCTGATTCCCCCCTGAGGCATTAGCTTCTGTTGTCCACCTCAAACACAGTGACCTTCTCTGACTGACTGCTTCTGTGTGATCGCAGGAAACAAGATGGGAGTGAGTCTGGAGTGTCTGCACCACTAGAGCCCACAGTCACACACACCACCTCACCGCTCCACAAGGTAAGGGGGTGTTTCATCTGAACTATGAGCCCTGACCTAACCTGTGTGCCCCCCTGAGATCTTTTGTTTCACGTCTCTTCTCATCCTGTCTCCTCCGTCTGGAAACACTTTCTCAGTTCAGCGCTTGTCTTTATTTCTCATTAGGAATCGATTCTCTTCTGCAAGCATAAGTTCTGTAATTAGAGCAGCCTCTCTGTGGTTATTGCGTCTGACTGACTCCATCAATAAGATGCCTATTTTAGTGGGAAACAGCCTGATTCTGACAGTCTGAGGCTGAGCGACATCAAAGCTGATGAAACTGAATCTCTGTCATCATCAAAGGTGGAGGACCAAAGTAGGCGGCAGAGATTTCGTCTAGGCTCCGTTCTTCCTGATTTACAGTTCATGAGGAGTTTGGACCATCCACAGTCAGTTTCAGCATGACGTCATAAAAACCTGGCCTGCACGGTGGCTCCGTCGTTAGCACGGCTGCGTTTGAATCCTGGCTGTGGCGTTTCTGAGTGGAGGTCTCCTCGGGCTCGTGTGGGTCTTACTTTATTGGTGTCTTGAACGTGGTCAACGCTTTGGGTAGAAAATGTGATAAATAACAAATTTAAAAAATCTGCACTGTAAACCCAAATGTTGAAAATAATCAAATATATTGAGTAGGTGACACTCATAAATAAAAAAAAGGTTTTAGAACTCAAATGTGTAGCGTGAGTTCAATCTTTTCCTTGTTTTAAGTAAATAGAACTCAAAACTTTTAATTAATCTGAAAAAAATTTATTAGTGAGCATAACTTAAATAAATCAGTAAAGAACTTAAAGGGACTTTACGGAGTTTTGAATTTTTATGCTCGCAATAACCCCCTCAGGCCAAAAGCGTAACTGCAGCTTCAATAGTAGGCTCGTGCACGAGGCGCGCATGCTGTACGTGCGCACTCCTTAACGAAAATAACAGCTGAGACAGTCCCGTGTGTGTGTGTGTGTGTGTGTGTGTGTGTGTGTGTGTGTGTGTGTGTGTGTGTGTGTGTGTGTGTGTGTGTGGCCCGGAGGACAGAGGACAGGAGAACACGCAGCTAATTGATTAAATAATGTGGTTCTGTAGCTTTCTCTTCAGCACAGCCGACAAAGGTTTATGACGGGTCAGTCCTCCTGCATGCTCAGATCATTCCCTTCCCTTGCTTGAAAAATTGTTCCAAAATGAAAGTTGAACCCACATCTTTTTTATCTGTGAATTCAATGCCGTTCGGCGAGTCTCAAATAAAAATTTGGGCATCTTACTGTAAAAAAATATACCATTAATGTAAAAAAGAAACTCTAAATAAACTATGTTAACATCCAGAATCAAACCCAGGTCTTCTGCACGAGAGTCCGACAGCTTACTAGGTGACTTAAAGCACCAGTGATGTCTTTTGTATCTGTAACATTTATATCCTTGATGACAGCTGAAACATCAATCCAAAGGACGGTTCAGAGCGAAAACGGCTATTTTGTTGCTAATTAGCAGGAAATATCTAGAAGAAAGTTCTACAGAAAGTAGCTAAGGGTCCTCAGAAATGTAGCTAGCTTTGTCACTAGGCGTTAGGAACAGCGACAAAGTGGCACTGCCTCTCTCTCTGCTGCTAAAGCTACGGATAGCAAATGCTACGGGCGATGCCTGAGCGTGAACGCGCATGAAGCAGCCTGCTCGACCCGAGCATCTCTCTTTTTCTGTGATTTTACAGAAAAACAGGCAATCACAGTAAAAATGCCAGGGCTCATTCTACAGGACCAGGGCATTGCAGGAGAATGTATGAAGAAGACATTTATTATTTCTATACATGTTTTGGCTGTCACACTTCCATAATGTCTCTTTAACTTGAATGAGTAATATGAACAAAAAATGTTAATTTATAATTGTATGTTTCTATACTATTCTTTTCATCTTTATGTCAACTTAAAGTGTGTCTGATAAACAGACTTATATATTTCTTAAAATATTTGTGGATCTATAGAAAAAACAAGCACAAAAAAGCAATTTTGATGGATTTCAGGTTCAACAGAGAACTGGTGGGTGAGGTGCATTGTGGGTAGTCATGTTTTTAGTTATTTTGTTCTATTTTGGGGTGTTTATGCATGTTTATTGTGGGGCATTGTTGTTCTTAGTTATTACTTCATTCAGTGCTGAAAGTGTGGTGCTACTTTATGCATCATGTTGGCACCATAAGCGAGGAGGTTGGCCAAAGGAATGACCACTCTGTGCCGTTCCACTTGCATTTGTACAGCGGTGGTTCACACTGGATGTTGTTGGCTTTGGCTTTGGATGCTTCACTCTCACTGGCTGGGTGAGTGAGTGAGTCATGTGCTGAGAGCAACGTACCTTGGTTAGTGTAGTACAAGTTTTTTGAGTTATATCAACTTATCAAGTTTGAGTTAATAAACATTAACATTTCAAGTACATTTTCCAGATAATATGAGTTGAAAATGTTGAAAATCTTGAGTGAATTGCTCCCCAATTATAAATCGAGGAACATGAATATTTATAAGATAACAGAGATAATTTAAGGCAACTGCAAATGTAACTTTTATTTTATGTAAACTTGAAATATTTATAAACATCACTTAAATATTTTTTGTAATCTGTTACAAAATCATGTTTGAGTTCTGTGAAGTTATTAAGGTTTACAGTGTGTTCATCTTCAGGGACAAAGTCGTAATAATCCAGGCAAAAATAAAAGGCAACATCGGTTTCAGTACCGCGGCAGCGAGAGCATCCATCCGGCTGCAGGAGTCGAAGCTTTTGCACATTGGATAAGTGACACATGACAACCTACCTGGGATCTGTTGCTGGTTGGAGATGATAAGAGGATAAAGGCCCACTCTGGACAGGTTTATTCTATAAGGTTTCTCCAATCAGCTTGTACCTGAGCCCTAGCCCTGCAGCTTCCAGTCACACCTGCTGTTGTCAGACTAGCTGGACGCGTCTAGACATTTGCTGATGGATTTGACGTTAAATAAGAGAAGAATGAAAGACTCGAGCTGAATCTGACATGTGCAGGATGAAACCTCGACACTGTGGCCGAGCGGGACAAGACTCAGAGGAGAGTGTGGCTTTAGTCAGAAAGCGGGTCAATCTGCAGGTTTTAGCATCTCCTTCATCCAGACCTATGAAAGCATTAAAAGCATCATCATTTCATCAGGTTAAGGTGTGGTTCTGCAACAAAACACCGTCTCATCAGTCACTAGTGCTGCCTCGCAGCATCCCACTGCACAAGGAGTTTCTGTCTCACAGACGTCCACGCTCTGGGCATCTGAAGAAGGTTAGGGTTCCTGCTACCAGTGAGGAGGAGAGCAGAGGAGCTGCTGACTGTGACTGAAAGGTCTCGGCTTCACCGGCGGCCCTGTGTGGTCGCTGCTGCCTGGAGACGCCCTCACGCGTCCTCCTCTCAGGTCTTCTCTGGACAAGTGACTTCCACTTGGACTGCAGAGATGTAAATGTGGGACTTGAGATAAAACAAGCTGGTTAGTCAAAGACAGACCTGGAGAACATTTGAACTGATGACATGCAGCCTAGACTAGACTAGACTAGACTAGACTAGACTAGACTAGACTAGACTAGGGAGACTAGGGAGACTAGAAGATGCTTTTATGAATAACTTTTCTGTGACCTGACTTCTGAGACCTGAGTTGGACTGGAAGTCTGAAGGTTAAGGTAGACGTGCACCTGAAAGACGTTAAACTTGAGTTGGACTCTGACAACATGACTTGTGACCATCTCTGGAGTGCGTGGCCGCCCTCTGGCTGTTTGCCAACAGACTGATGTTGCAGCAGTTACCTGTGAGCAGGGAAGCTGGACTCCACCTCCAGCCCGAGTCGGTGTGTGATACTGTTGTAGTTTAGACGTGCTGCTGCAGAGAGGGAGGACATCAAGTGGACGGGGGGACGTTCCTAGCTTCCTTTCCAGGATCGCTCCCCTCTACAGGACGACACCAGAGCTGGCTCTGCTTGCAACCGGAGACAGTCTAGCGGCTGACCTCGTGTGTTTACCTCCTTGTTGGCGGAGCCTGTGGAGCTCGTCTCCAGCCTCTCTGTTGGACAGCTGCAGGGATGCAGCTTCGCCTCAGGTGTCACGGCTCGGCCACAGAGACAGACAGCCAGAGCCAGACTTACTGAAACCACGTTAAAAACCTGCAGGTAGCTATGGCTGGAAGACTTGAGCACCAGTGTGCTCCAACGGTGACCAAGACACACTGGAAGAAACCCAGCAGTGTAAGTAGCCGTATTACCAGAAAGCCATGCTAGACGAGGAATGCAATTAAATAGGTTGCAGGTGCAAAACTCCTTAGAGCAGCGTTGAAGTGAAGAGCCAGGAACACGTGTTAGTTTTAGCGAAGACTGAATCAGATCTGCACTTCCAGTTGAATCTGAGCGCGGAGACACCACAGCAGCTTCGTGGTCAGAGCCAGAGTTATTTACCTTCTGGGTTTGTGGCGGACTGTTGTTTGCACATGGTGGAGGACTTTACTCACACACACACACACACACACACACACACACACACACACACACACACACACACACACACACACACACACACACACACACACACACACACACACACACACACACACACACACACACACACACACACACACACACACACACACACAGAGCTTAGACATGATTGCTCTGTACACACAGTATTTGTGCCAGGCTTTCCGGGCTGAGCCTGCTGCTGCAGAACCGGTACGCATCGTCGTCGTTGTTGTTGTTGTTGACCACTTGTTTGTGATGTTTTCTGATGTCAGCCGACACGTGCGGGTGTTGCATTCTTTAATTTAGACTACAACACCAGAAGAGCTGGAGGAACTGTGCAGAGATGGAAACGAACAAACTTCGTACACGATGCTTCCCATCAGCTGGGTTCGGGTCACCCGTAGGGGCTGGAACAGATTCCCTTCGTCTTCGACAGAGCGGCTCTTCCCGTCCCGAGTTTGGTTTCAGCTGCAGCAGTCGGACCTGTTTCGGATCAAATTTCAGCTCAACAACAGAAAGTGTGTGTAAGGTTGTTGTGGATCGCTCAGGGCTTTTCTGCCAATAAACAAAACGTGTCCAGAACCTTCTGGTGCAGTGAAGCATCAAACACAGAGCTGCTTTACACGTAGTCACGTTTTCACACCAGAACACGGAGAGAGGCAGACTCTAGTAAACACCGTAGTACTTCACTCTGTTTCCTGTGGAGAGCAGAACAGATGCATTTAAATAAAACATCAGGTGCTTACGTTACACTTAACTACGACCGGGGTTCATAAAAACAAACCTCGCTGTGATTTTGGTGGAGTGACCCGTTTTAGGTGCCTCACAAGAATCCGTCATCGATGGCGCTTTGCAAACGTGTTCATACAGCTCACAGGTGTGAGTTGTGTTGGTCTGCTGCTGAAAACGTTCAGGCTTCTGGTCGTGCGGTGGAACTCGTTCAAGAGGCGCCGCGCAAAAACAATTTCACTCTAAAGTTGACTTGTTGTGAGTTTCAGAGAAAAGGCCCGATTTCTCTCTGGAGGTTGGGTTATTGAGCTGATCAAGTTATCTGCATTCATTAATTCATGCATTCATTCATTCATTTAACCACAACATGAACAGAAAACAGCACGAAACACCTTTTTAACGTGGCTATGAAATAAACACGTGTCCTCTGCAGAGTCAGGGAGCACCGAGCTGCAGGATGTCCGTGTAAGGAGCAGCACTCGTGCACCAGCCACAATACAAATAAAGCATCCTGATTCATCCACAAGTCGTCATCATTTAAGAGCCTATGGTAGTCTGAATGAGTGAACGCACGAGCAGACAGACGTGACCCAAACTAACAGAACACATTGCTTTATTGATGAAACATGAACTTCTGCTCCAACAACTCAGCATGTCCTCCCCTCTCCCCAGACCCCAGATTTATTTGAAATGATTGAGAGGATGCAGGTAAGGACACACCGGTCTGTGGTTTGTCTCGGCTCGCTAAGATGACCTCACTAGCACCTCTCGCTGCTCCAGCGCTGCTTATCGTTTTCTGTTTTTCACAAAGGAAATGGCGTGTAGTGTTCAGAGGAGCTGGACGTTGTGCCCTTCCCTTTTCTCCTCCTTTCTGCTGACATTCTGGTTGGAGCTCTGGCTGATGGTGCTGTGTGCTTATTGGCTGTCCCCTGCTTTCTACAGACGTATTAAACCACACCTGAACAGATAGTTTAGGGTGTTTACACGGTGACGCGTACGCGTCAGTCAGTAGTGACTTTCAGCAGCTCCAACATCAGTTATGGGTTTGAAAACAAAGTGTTTGTTGTTGTTGTTGTGATGAAGATTTATTTCAGTCAGACTTTGGACGGATGACATGATTGTTGGAGGCATTCCATTCCGTGACTTCCATCTAAGACTAACCCTAACCTAAACTAACCTGAACTAACCCGAACTAACCTAAGCTAACCCGAACTAACCTAAACTAACCCGAACTAACCTAAACTAACCCAAACTAACCTAAACTAACCCGAACTAACCTAAACTAACCCGAACTAACCTAAACTAACCTGAACAAACCTAAACTAACCTGAACTAACTAACTAACCTAAACTAACCCGAACTAACCTAAACTAACCTGAACAAACCTAAACTAACCTGAACTAACCTGAACTAACCTAAACTAACCTGAACGAACCTAAACTAACCCGAACTAACCTAAACTAACCCGAACTAACCTAAACTAACCTGAACAAACCTAAACTAACCTGAACTAACCTAAACTAACCTGAACTAACCTAAACTAACCTGAACTAACTAACCTAAACTAACCCGAACTAACCTAAACTAACCTGAACAAGCCTAAACTAACCTGAACTAACCTAAACTAACCTGAACGAACCTAAACTAACCTGAACTAACCTAAACTAACCCGAACTAACCTAAACTAACCTGAACAAACCTAAACTAACCTGAACTAACCTAAACTAACCTGAACTAACCTAAACTAACCTGAACTAACTAACCTAAACTAACCCGAACTAACCTAAACTAACCTGAACAAACCTAAACTAACCTGAACTAACCTGAACTAACCTAAACTAACCTAAACTAACCTGAACTAACCTGAACTAACCTGAACTAACCTGAACTAACCTTAACTAAAACCCCTAAAACCAGGTTAGGGGGTTTGGTGTTGTGTGGACACGCCCACACAGTACAGGTTAAGGCCAAAATGTGTCCACTTTAACACATGAAGACAAGTTCACACACACACACACACACACACACACACACACACACACACACACACACACACACACACACACACACACACACACACACACACACACATTTTGAGCTTGGGTTAGATTTCCACACGTCTGCTTTGTGTTCGATGCTCCTTGCAGCCACTCTCGACTCTGCGCCGTTCCCATCTTGTATCTTATTCCGGGTTTTCCCATCTGTCCTTTTTTACTTGGTCTTGTTGCTTGTTTCCTGGGAAATGTGAGTTAGATCCTTTGTCTTGGGTTGTTGTCTCTGCTTGTGGACGTCTGTCAGTGACTCTGCGGCTCTTCTTGCACAGGGCAGCAGGATGGATGAGCAGAGGTGCAACTTTCCTCCACCTCTCAAGGTAAGCTCTGGTAACCTTGTGCTGAACAGCTGTGCAGAGCCTGTCCCACGGGGGTGGAAGTGTAGGAGGTAAACACGTTTCATGTCTTTCCTTCAGACTGAAGAAGATTACATTCCGTATCCAAGCGTCCACGAGGTATGAAGCAAAGGTTTTCATCCTACAGTTGGTCAGTGCTGTCTGGTCCAACGCCTGTGTCTGTTGCCTTCTGAAACAGGTGCTGGGGAGAACGCGCCCCTTCCCTCTCATCCTGTTGCCACAGTTTGGTGGTTACTGGATCGAAGGGACAAACCACGAGCTGGGCGGCACCGAGCTGCCCCGGCCGCCGTCTCCCAACACCCGCACCAAGCTGGAATGTAACACAACAGCGACACTCTTCCGGAAACACTTCCTTGGAAAGGTCAGCCACACATAATCAAGCTTTATTTCTAGATTAGGTTAAATCATCAGATTTCCCTGTGTTACCTAGGAGCTCTTGAGCCAGGCACATTTGTTCTATTGGTTAGAACAGGTGTTTTTCTGGCAGAAGGTCACAGGTTCACCCCCCAGCTGGGCCCTTTTCATGTAGCTTCCTCGGGTGTGGGTTAAGTGCTGCCGCATCTCCTCTCACTGTGACCTGTGAGGGGGTTCGGGTCAGGAAGTGGTGACCGGTGACCTGTGAGGGGGTTTGGGTCAGGAAGTGGTGACCGGTGACCTGTGAGGGGGTTCGGGTCAGGAAGTGGTGACCGGTGACCTGTGAGGGGGTTCGGGTCAGGAAGTGGTGACCGGTGACCTGTGAGGGGGTTCGGGTCAGAAGGTGGTGTCCGGTGACCTGTGAGGGGGTTCGGGTCAGGAAGTGGTGACCGGTGACCTGTGAGGGGGTTTGGGTCAGGAAGTGGTGTCCGGTGACCTGTGAGGGGGTTCGGGTCAGGAAGTGGTGTCCGGTGACCTGTGAGGGGGTTCGGGTCAGGAAGTGGTGTCCGGTGACCTGTGAGGGGGTTCGGGTCAGGAAGTGGTGTCCGGTGACCTGTGAGGGGGTTCGGGTCAGAAGGTGGTGTCCGGTGACCTGTGAGGGGGTTCGGGTCAGAAGGTGGTGTCCGGTGACCTGTGAGGGGGTTCGGGTCAGGAAGTGGTGACCGGTGACCTGTGAGGGGGTTCGGGTCAGGAAGTGGTGACCGGTGACCTGTGAGGGGGTTCGGGTCAGGAAGTGGTGTCCGGTGACCTGTGAGGGGGTTTGGGTCAGGAAGTGGTGACCGTTGACCTGTGAGGGGGTTCGGGTCAGAAGGTGGTGTCCGGTGACCTGTGAGGGGGTTCGGGTCAGGAAGTGGTGACCGGTGACCTGTGAGGGGGTTCGGGTCAGAAGGTGGTGTCCGGTGACCTGTGAGGGGGTTCGGGTCAGGAAGTGGTGACCGGTGACCTGTGAGGGGGTTTGGGTCAGGAAGTGGTGACCGGTGACCTGTGAGGGGGTTCGGGTCAGGAAGTGGTGTCCGGTGACCTGTGAGGGGGTTCGGGTCAGGAAGTGGTGTCCGGTGACCTGTGAGGGGGTTCGGGTCAGGAAGTGGTGACCGGTGACCTGTGAGGGGGTTCGGGTCAGAAGGTGGTGTCCGGTGACCTGTGAGGGGGTTCGGGTCAGAAGGTGGTGTCCGGTGACCTGTGAGGGGGTTCGGGTCAGGAAGTGGTGACCGGTGACCTGTGAGGGGGTTCGGGTCAGGAAGTGGTGACCGGTGACCTGTGAGGGGGTTCGGGTCAGGAAGTGGTGTCCGGTGACCTGTGAGGGGGTTTGGGTCAGGAAGTGGTGACCGGTGACCTGTGAGGGGGTTCGGGTCAGGAAGTGGTGTCCGGTGACCTGTGAGGGGGTTCGGGTCAGGAAGTGGTGTCCGGTGACCTGTGAGGGGGTTCGGGTCAGAAGGTGGTGTCCGGTGACCTGTGAGGGGGTTCGGGTCAGGAAGTGGTGACCGGTGACCTGTGAGGGGGTTTGGGTCAGGAAGTGGTGACCGGTGACCTGTGAGGGGGTTCGGGTCAGGAAGTGGTGACCGGTGACCTGTGAGGGGGTTTGGGTCAGGAAGTGGTGATCGGTGACCTGTGAGGGGGTTCGGGTCAGGAAGTGGTGTCCGGTGACCTGTGAGGGGGTTCGGGTCAGGAAGTGGTGTCCGGTGACCTGTGAGGGGGTTCGGGTCAGAAGGTGGTGTCCGGTGACCTGTGAGGGGGTTCGGGTCAGGAAGTGGTGACCAGTGACCTGTGAGGGGGTTCGGGTCAGGAAGTGGTGACCGGTGACCTGTGTGGGGGTTCGTGTCAGGAAGTGGTGACCGGTGACCTGTGAGGGGGTTCGGGTCAGGAAGTGGTGTCCGGTGACCTGTGAGGGGGTTCGGGTCAGGAAGTGGTGACCGGTGACCAATGAGGGGGTTCGGGTCAGGAAGTGGTGACCGGTGACCTGTGAGGGGGTTCGGGTCAGGAAGTGGTGACCGGTGACCTGTGAGGGGTTCCGGGTCAGGAAGTGGTGTCCGGTGACCTGTGAGGGGGTTCGGGTCAGGAAGTGGTGACCGGTGACCTGTGAGGGGGTTTGGGTCAGGAAGTGGTGACCGGTGACCTGTGAGGGGGTCCGGGTCAGGAAGTGGTGACCGGTGACCTGTGAGGGGGTCCGGGTCAGGAAGTGGTGACCGGTGACCTGTGAGGGGGTTCGGGTCAGGAAGTGGTGACCGGTGACCTGTGAGGGGGTCCGGGTCAGGAAGTGGTGACCGGTGACCTGTGAGGGGGTTCGGGTCAGGAAGTGGTGACCGGTGACCTGTGAGGGGGTCCGGGTCAGGAAGTGGTGTCCGGTGACCTGTGAGGGGGTTCGGGTCAGGAAGTGGTGACCGGTGACCTGTGAGGGGGTCCGGGTCAGGAAGTGGTGTCCGGTGACCTGTGAGGGGGTTCGGGTCAGGAAGTGGTGTCCGGTGACCTGTGAGGGGGTTCGGGTCAGAAGGTGGTGTCCGGTGACCTGTGAGGGGGTTCGGGTCAGGAAGTGGTGACCAGTGACCTGTGAGGGGGTTCGGGTCAGGAAGTGGTGACCGGTGACCTGTGAGGGGGTTCGGGTCAGGAAGTGGTGTCCGGTGACCTGTGAGGGGGTTTGGGTCAGGAAGTGGTGACCGGTGACCTGTGAGGGGGTTCGGGTCAGGAAGTGGTGTCCGGTGACCTGTGAGGGGGTTCGGGTCAGGAAGTGGTGTCCGGTGACCTGTGAGGGGGTTCGGGTCAGAAGGTGGTGTCCGGTGGCCTGTGAGGGGGTTCGGGTCAGGAAGTGGTGACCGGTGACCTGTGAGGGGGTTTGGGTCAGGAAGTGGTGACCGGTGACCTGTGAGGGGGTTCGGGTCAGGAAGTGGTGACCGGTGACCTGTGAGGGGGTTTGGGTCAGGAAGTGGTGACCGGTGACCTGTGAGGGGGTTTGGGTCAGGAAGTGGTGACCGGTGACCTGTGAGGGGGTTCGGGTCAGGAAGTGGTGTCCGGTGACCTGTGAGGGGGTTCGGGTCAGGAAGTGGTGTCCGGTGACCTGTGAGGGGGTTCGGGTCAGAAGGTGGTGTCCGGTGACCTGTGAGGGGGTTCGGGTCAGGAAGTGGTGACCAGTGACCTGTGAGGGGGTTCGGGTCAGGAAGTGGTGACCGGTGACCTGTGTGGGGGTTCGTGTCAGGAAGTGGTGACCGGTGACCTGTGAGGGGGTTTGGGTCAGGAAGTGGTGACCGGTGACCTGTGAGGGGGTTCGGGTCAGGAAGTGGTGTCCGGTGACCTGTGAGGGGGTTCGGGTCAGGAAGTGGTGACCGGTGACCTGTGAGGGGGTTCGGGTCAGGAAGTGGTGACCGGTGACCTGTGAGGGGGTCCGGGTCAGGAAGTGGTGTCCGGTGACCTGTGAGGGGGTTCGGGTCAGGAAGTGGTGACCGGTGACCTGTGAGGGGGTTCGGGTCAGGAAGTGGTGACCGGTGACCTGTGAGGGGGTCCGGGTCAGAACAGAAATGGGAAATTCCAGGTGTGTGGAAAGCATGGTTGGAAGGCTGTGGCGGTAAGGGCTAGGCCGTCGGACAGAGGTGAACTAAACAGAGAGGAACCAGACGCGTTTAGGCAGCAGAGGAACGTGACCTGAAGCAGGCTGTGTCAGACGGCTGGTTCACCACTCACACAGAGGATAGGAGACCTTGGGTACCGGGAGAAGATAAGCCAGCGTGTCCAACAGGACAGGGCGTGGCCTGCACACCGGCACCTGCGTTATGAGATGTTTTGTGTGCATCAGTGAGGTGGTGCTTCGTTTGACTTGACCACCTGTAGGTGGGAGGAGCCTAGCACACCTGTGAGGCGTTTCCATGGCTGCATGGTTTCAGGTTATTCCTTCGTGTAACTCTGGAGAGTTTTGAGACGGATGAGTCATTTGAGCTCCTTCCTGTTTGAGCTTCTTTGGCTTCTTCAGCTCAAGTCGTTGTTAAATCTGCACTTGTTTCCTCTGATTGTGAAACTGAATAATTATGACTACTTAGTTACTGTCTGGGAGGGGCTTCTTCATCGTAGTTGTGCCCACTTTAATCCAATCCTCCTCGGTACCCAACCAGAACAATGTTTAAGCCACTTACTGCTCATTATGGCACCAGCACGGTGGAGAAGCTCCCACTGGCGTCCGCCTCAGTAGAAACACAGTCTGGGTTCGAAAGGTCCTGATTGTGTGTGTGTGTGTGTGTGTGTGTGTGTGTGTGTGTGTGTGTGTGTGTGTGTGTGTGTATGTGCGTGTGTGTGTGTGTGTGTGTCCTGCATACCTGCTAATGACAGACACTGATGTGGCTCTGCCTGCACTCTGCCTTCAGGAGCACTTTAATTACTATTCAGTGGACACTAACCTTGGACATCTGGTGTTCTCCATTAAATACGATGTGATTGGTGACCAGGAACATCTCCGTCTCATGCTCAGGTATCAGGTATCACTCACTCTGCACGTAAATAATAAAAAGTAAAGCCCTTCGGTTAAAGCAGAGGTGGTATGTTCCGGGTTGACTGGATGGTCACATCCTCCCTGGCTGTTATTGTACAAGTCATAAAGCTGAGGAGCGTGTCAACAGAACCGTCATCTTCACAGCGAGGGAACAGATGGGCTGTGGGTGGCAGCGTGGGGGGGGGGGGGGGGGGGGGGGCAGGGTGGGGAGGTTCACACTGGGTCATCTTCTTCCTATCGACAGAAATGCTCCATCTCTGATTGTTTTATGGCTTCACCAGGACCAGGCTGAAAACCTACCATGATGTGCTTCCCATTTCCTGCCTGACAGAGTTTCCTAACGTCGTCCAAATGGCCAAAGTAAGAAAACCAACCACTTTCTGACACCAATGATCACTGGTGACCGAGTCTAACGCTGTCACGTTTCCTCTTCTTTCCCACCCAAGCTTGTGTGTGAAGACGTCCTCGTGGACCGCTTTTATCCCGTCCTTTATCCCAAAGTAAGTGTCCTCTCTGTTCCAACGCGTGAAGGCTGAAACTTGCCAAGGAAGCTCTTGTAAAACTCGGGTAGTTGTTCCTGCTTAAATAAAGCTTTATAAACAGTTCTAATGCAATATTTATACAGGGATTGCTGTGAAACTCAAATGATCAGGCAATAAGTGTTACTAAAGCTGTTGCACCTTTAAAAACTGCATGGGAACCTCCCAAACAACAACAACAACAACAACATGCACATTAACTACAGGCAACGCATTAGTCAGTGGTACTTTTTGGGGCTCTTTAACTTTTCCAGCCATATTTAAGAGGTGTCACGAGTCGTTGCCATGGTAATTTGAAAGTTTAGGGCAACCATTGCTTTAAATGAAAGTGATTTCTTTATTTATTTAAGCTAAAAAGCGGATCACTTCTGAAAACCCAGTTTTTCCTCAAAGCCATCTTTATTTGGGACGGCGTCTGGTCTCATGTTGTAGTAAAAGGCACACTGGCATCATGGAGCATCCTGGAGAGACCACTACTGGATGCAGGTGAAGTTGTGAAACAGGGAGCTGATAAATGTCGTATCCCGTCCCTGAGAACAACCGAGGATGGCTCACCTTCCTATTCCCGGAGGAAACCTGCTTGTTGATGACAGAACAGTAGACTGGAGGACAAACGTGCTCATCGGCGGTGGCCGACAGGACGCCAACAGGCCATGAACCAATGATTCATCCTGTTTGTTATGTTTGTCACTCCTGCAGGCTTCGAGGCTTATCGTCACTTTTGATGAACACGTGATAAGCAACAATTTCAAGTTTGGGGTCATCTATCAGAAGTATGGACAGGTGAGTTCTCCGGGCTGCACGCCGGACGGATTCGCAGGAGGAAGTTGGCCTTCCCTCAGATTTCTCCTCCAAGACAAACAAGCCCGTGTGGTAGTTTCTGATTCCCTCAAGAAACTGATCATCTTCAGCTCACCCTCTCATTTTCTGAGGCAATCAGCCCCTTTGTGCTCTCCTTAGGGGGGCTGGGGGAGGGAGGCCTACAGAGGCAGTCACATGGGGTGGGTCCGAATCCACAGGAAGGATGCTCACGAGTACGGGTCCTCGCCAATCTAGCAAGGCCAGGCCCTTGAAGACCACTAAGACCGGAACCCAGCGGCTCTGAATCCGGACAGTCTAGCCTTCACCTCTACGGTGGCCCGTAGGTCCCGTCACAGCCGCGGCGGCAGCTACACGCAAAGGAAAAACGCTAAAGCTAGTGAAAATGGAGCAGGAATATTAAGGAGCTAGAGTAGCTTCACGTCCATCAGCAGCGTTTGTTCACAACCGTTTTCAGGTTCCTCTGATACGCACTGTAGCCTCGACTTTAAACAACAGAGCAGCGGCATGGTGCAGGTCTCTGCCACTCCGGCCATGCATGTGCAGTGAGCAGCCTCAACCCTCCCACTGGAGCTCACCATGACCCATGGATGCAGTTTCCTTCAGTCGTTGTGAGTGCAGGACCTTAAACACACAAAAATCACTTTTAATATTAAGTCTGTAATCAACCAAGGCTAACATAGATGGGTTGGCTGTACATGCAAATCAAAAACTGCAACAAGGAAGTTGTTTAGAACGTTATCGTGTTCAGAGCGACTTACCTTTGTCTTAATGACAGCATACTCGCAGCGTGGAGGCTTAAAGACGGACACATCTTGCACCCAGCCGTTCGTGAATTGGATGTGGGCCTCCAGGGATTTATAATTCTTAAACTGCTTCGCTGTGTATGCGCTCGCTCCACAGACAAGGTAGGCAAAGATATCGGGATAGGACAAAGGCGGAAGATCGTCTGGGTTACCACTCCACTTCGTTATTTCATATGGGTCCACATTACCGAAGCAAGCAATTTTTTCTCTTGGCGTCTGGGCACAATCGGTCGCGCTACAGCCCTTTTTCTTTTGCGTTGATTTTGAGCATGATTCTGTCACTCCCGATTCCAACACTCCAACACTGTCTGCTTCTTTAGCTCTCTGGCCAACTGTCATGGCGCCGCGATCCCACAATGCACTGCGGCGTGACGTCAGCGCCAAAGCCCTATAACTGGGACCCGCGATACAAACTGGTTCTGGCTGATTTCTGCCTAAAATGTCATTTAAAGAACAAATATACAAACGAAACATGTCTATAAACTGAACCGCTTTAAGCTTTTAAGGTTTCTACGGCTAGCTTTTAACAAACTTACGTTTAAAACTTCGTAGCTCTCCCCATTTTCTCTTCCTGCTGAAAATCCACAGCCGGCGCGCAAAGCATGCTGGGATAGCCTTGTTCTGTGAGGATACAACAGACCCGTCCTCGAAATGTGGGCGGAGCGAGGACGCGTTTGAGGACGCGAGAATGAGTATTCTTGGAATTCGGACAGTACTCGTCGCTGCGCTGTGACGTCATTGCACTCTTACAAGCATCCTTCCCGTGGATTCGGACATGCCCATGCTTGTCCCAGGGTTCTCACACATTTGGATGGTGAAGCTCTTCTGATGCTGCAGAACCAAAGGGGCCGTCTATAAAGGATGCACAATAGCATCTAATGATCAGGGTTAGTGTTCACTGCACCGTTCCCTTTCACCGATGATCAACAATCCAGAACAGATCTCCATTTTTCTAACATCTGATCATTTTTCTGCTACAGCACAAACACATTTCCTATAAAATCATTGCCACTAATGGCAGTCTGACAACAGTTTAGCTCTTCAGTATGCACCTTGTTTAGAGAAGATACGTGAACCTCCGTTATAACTGTACCTGCTCCTGGGGTTGCTCCTTCAGGTGTTTCTGCTCATTTCAGACCTCAGAAGAGGAGCTGTTTAGCAACAGTGAAGAGAGTCCTGCCTTTGTAGAATTCCTGGAATTTCTGGGGGAGAAAATCGAACTTCACAACTTTAAAGGGTAATAACCGGTCCAAATACAATCCCAAACACACAACGCCAACTCCAGTTTGCATCCCATCCTCCCAGCTGTAGGGATGACGGTCGTGCTCCATGCAGATTCTGTTAGACATGGCTCTGTGTGCTTGCAGCTTCCGCGGAGGGCTGGATGTGACTCATGGGCAGACCGGAGCAGAATCTGTCTACTGCAACTACCGCAACAAAGAGGTCATGTTCCACGTGTCCACAAAGCTGCCTTACACAGAGGGGGACACCCAGCAGGTAGTGTAATGCTACAGCACACCTCTCGTGACTCATTAACACAGCCAGACTAGTTCCCTCTGGCTACTGGACCCAGAAAAACACAAGCCACCATAGCTGGCTGTGAACGTGAACCAGAACACGGTATAGAAACCGCTAGTGCCCTCAGTAAACAGACGTGGCATGTGTGCCACGTAGGCCTAGCAATGTGGGTCCTGATTAAAAGGGAAACGGCTCCCCCTTGTGGGTTTTCACAAGTTCACATCAGCTGAGACAAAGCTGGAGGACAAAGCTCCGATCTGCAAAAATGTCATTCTTAGTGTCCATCAAACCTTTTGTTCTGCAGGTATTGTGATGTTTGTTGCATTTGGATTTTCCACGTTCCGGTTCTATCAGCTTGGTGCTCTCAGGTATCTCAATACGTTTTCATTGATTCTTTAACCAGGAAGCTCCCATTGAGATTAAACACCTCCGTTCTAAGGGAGTCCTGACCATGAGGCAGCAGAAGTCCCAGTGACAGAAGTCCCAGTTACAGATGTTCCAGTGACAGATGTTCCAGTGACAGATGCTTCATTTACAGATGTTCCAGTTACAGATGTTCCAGTTACAGATGTTCCAGTGACAGATGTTCCAGTTACAGATGTTCCAGTGACAGATGCTTCATTTACAGATGTTCCAGTTACAGATGTTCCAGTTACAGATGTTCCAGTGACAGATGTTCCAGTTACAGATGTTCCAGTGACAGATGCTTCATTTACAGATGTTCCAGTTACAGATGTTCCAGGGACAGACGTTCCAGTTACAGATGTTCCAGTGACAGATGTTCCAGTTACAGATGTTCCAGTGACAGATGCTTCATTTACAGATGTTCCAGTTACAGATGTTCCAGTGACAGATGCTTCATTTACAGATGTTCCAGTTACAGATGTTCCAGTGACAGATGCTTCATTTACAGATGTTCCAGTTACAGATGTTCCAGTGACAGATGCTTCATTTACAGATGTTCCAGTTACAGATGTTCCAGTGACAGATGTTCCAGTTACAGATGTTCAAGTGACAGATGCTTCATTTACAGATGTTCCAGTTACAGATGTTCCAGTGACAGATGTTCCAGTGACAGATGCTTCATTTACAGATGTTCCAGTTACAGATGTTCCAGTGACAGATGCTTCATTTACAGATGTTCCAGTTACAGATGTTCCAGTGACAGATGTTCCAGTTACAGATGTTCAAGTGACAGATGCTTCATTTACAGATGTTCCAGTTACAGATGTTCCAGTGACAGATGTTCCAGTGACAGATGCTTCATTTACAGATGTTCCAGTTACAGATGTTCCAGTGACAGATGTTCCAGTGACAGATGTTCCAGTGACAGATGTTCCAGTGACAGATGTTCCAGTTACAGATGTTCCAGTGACAGATGTTCCAGATGTTCAAGTGACAGATGTTCCAGTGACAGATGCTTCATTTACAGATGTTCCAGTGACAGATGTTCCAGTGACAGATGTTCCAGTTACAGATGCTCCAGTTACAGATGTTCCAGTGACAGATGTTCCAGTTACAGATGTTCAAGTGACAGATGCTTCATTTACAGATGTTCCAGTTACAGATGCTCCAGTTACAGATGTTCCAGTGACAGATGTTCCAGTTACAGATGTTCCAGTTACAGATGTTCCAGTGACAGATGTTCCAGTGACAGATGCTTCATTTACAGATGTTCCAGTTACAGATGTTCCAGTGACAGATGTTCCAGTTACAGATGTTCAAGTGACAGATGCTTCATTTACAGATGTTCCAGTTACAGATGTTCCAGTGACAGATGTTCCAGTTACAGATGTTCCAGTGACAGATGTTCCAGTGACAGATGTTCCAGTTACAGATGTTCAAGTGACAGATGCTTCATTTACAGATGTTCCAGTTACAGATGTTCCAGTGACAGATGCTTCATTTACACATGTTCCAGTTACAGATGTTCCAGTGACAGATGTTCCAGTTACAGATGTTCCAGTGACAGATGTTCCAGTTACAATGTTCAAGTGACAGATGTTCCAGTTACAGATGTTCCAGGGACAGATGTTCCAGGGACAGATGTTCCAGGGACAGATGTTCCAGTGACAGATGTTCCAGGGACAGATGTTCCAGTTACAGATGTTCCAGTGACAGATGTTCCAGTTACAGATGTTCCAGGGACAGATGTTCCAGTTACAGATGTTCCAGGGACAGATGTTCCAGGGACAGATGTTCCAGGGACAGATGTTCCAGGGACAGATGTTCCAGGGACAGATAGTCCAGGGACAGATGTTCCAGGGACAGATGTTCCAGTTACAGATGTTCCAGGGACAGATGTTCCAGTTACAGATGTTCCAGGGACAGATGTTCCAGGGACAGATGTTCCAGTTACAGATGTTCCAGTGACAGATGCTCCATTGACAGATGTTCCAGTTACAGATGTTCCAGGGACAGATGTTCCAGGGACAGATGTTCCAGTTACAGATGTTCCAGGGACAGATGTTCCAGGGACAGATGTTCCAGTGACAGATGTTCCAGGGACAGATGTTCCAGTTACAGATGTTCCAGTGACACACATGTTATGTACAACTTTACAGAAGGCCGTTACAACACAGGGAATCCGTCTCAAGGGCTCTCAGTTTGGTTTAAATGTGTTCAAGGAAATGAACTCAGTTAAATTCCAGTTTTCCTGTAGAAGGGGCAGCATGAACGAAAGCCCTTTTGCCCAGTTGGGTGTGAACGAAACAGAGAAACAGCTGGTACAACCCACCATGGTGACTGGAATGACTGGAATCAGACAAAAATAAAAATAAATAAGCCAGATATTGATTTTCAAACAAGCTTATTTAAAAGAAAATCTGATGGAACAGAGACCCAAGGATGCCGACACGTTTGTCTCCTTTCAACATGGAGCAGAAGCATCCAAGTCCAGATGTCAGACCTTACCTCGTTTCTACAAAATCACTTTTGTTCTGTGCTTGGGTTTTGTCTCCAACACACACACACACACACACACACACACACACGCACACGCACACGCACACACGCACGCACGCACGCACGCATGCACGCACACACACACACACACACACACACACACACACACACACATACTTCCTTTATTTTAAGATAAATAGAATACAAACTTCTCACCCAAAAAATCTCTAGTTTTAGTTTTAAATAATTAGTTCTTAAATTTTTCTTATTTATTTTAAATGAACTTATTAGATTTATTTTAATTTGAACTATTTTACATCCAACTCCAAGACATTGTGTTGTGGAATAGTGTCAGGATCCAGGGGAAAGCTCATTGTATGCTTTTGAAGTGCTAGCTTGACAAGGCCCACACCAGTGGACCACAACAGTCCGTCTGAAACGACAGGGCCCCTTCACCCGTCTCCACTCACATGGACTCACTCACATGGACTCACATGTACTCACTCACATGTACTCACTCACATGTACTCACTCACATGTACTCAACTGTCTCCACTCACATGGACTCACTCACATGGACTCACTCACATGGACTCACATGTACTCACTCACATGGACTCACATGTACTCACTCACATGGACTCACATGTACTCACTCACATGGACTCACATGTACTCACTCACATGTACTCACTCATATGTACTCACTCACATGTACTCAACTGTCTCCACTCACATGGACTCACTCACAAGGACTGACATGGACTCACCCACATGGACTCACATGCACTCACTCACATGTACTCAACTGTCTCCACTCACATGGACTCACTCACATGTACTCACATGGACTCACTCACATGGACTGACATGGACTCACCCACATGGACTCACATGTACTCACTCACATGTACTCAACTGTCTCCACTCACATGGACTCACTCACATGTACTCACATGGACTCACTCACATGGACTCACATGTACTCCCTCACATGGACTCACTCACATGGACTCACATGTACTCACTCACATGTACTCACTCACATGTACTCACATGGTCTCACTCACATGTACTCACATGTACTCACTCACATGTACTCACATGGACTCCCTCATATGGACTCACTCACATGGACTCACATGTACTCACTCACATGCACTCTCTCTAATGTACTCACTCACATGGACTCACATTTACTCACTCACATGTACTCACTCACATGTACTCACATGGTCTCACTCACATGTACTCACATGGTCTCACTCACATGTACTCACATGGACTCAATCACATGGACTCTCATGTACTAACTCACATGTACTCACTCACATGTACTCACTCACATGTACTCAATCACATATACTCACTCACATGGACTCACATGGACTCACTCACATGGACTTACATGGACTCACTCACATGGACTCTCATGTACTCACTCACATGTACTCAATCACATGTACTCACTCTCATGTACTCACTCACATGGACTCTCATGTACTAACTCACATGTACTCAATCACATGTACTCACTCACATTTACTCAATCACATGTACTCACTCACATGTACTCACATGTACTCACTCAGATGTACACACTCACATGTACTCAATCACATGTACTCACATGTACTCACTCACATGTACTCACTCACATGTACTCACTCACATGTACTCACTCACATGTACTCACTCACATGGACTCACTCACATGGACTCTCATGTACTAACTCACATGTACTCACTCACATGTACTCAATCACATGTACTCACTCACATGTACTCACTCACATGTACTCACATGGACTCACTCACATGGACTCTCATGTACTAACTCACATGTACTCAATCACATGTACTCACTCACATTTACTCAATCACATGTACTCACTCACATGTACTCAATCACATGTAGTCACATGTACTCACTCAGATGTTCTCACTCACATGTACTCAATCACATGTACTCACATGTACTCACTCACATGTACTCACTCACATGTACTCACTCACATGGACTCTCATGTACTAACTCACATGTACTCAATCACACGTACTCACTCACATGTACTCACTCACACGTACTCACTCACATGCACTCACATGTACTCACTCACATGTACTCAATCACATGTACTCACTCACATGTACTCAATCACATGTACTCACTCACATGTACTCACTCACACGTACTCACTCACATGTACTCACTCACACGTACTCACTCACATGCACTCACATGGTCTCACTCACATGTACTCACATGGACTCACTCACATGGACTCACTCACATTGACTCTCATGTACTCACTCACATGTACTCAATCACATGTACTCACCCACATGTACTCAATCACATGTACTCACATGTACTCACTCACATGTACTCAATCACATGTACTCACATGTACTCACTCACATGGACTCTCATGTACTAACTCACATGTACTCAATCACATGTACTCACTCACATGTACTCACATGTACTCAATCACATATACTCACTCACATGGACTCACTCACATGGACTCACATGGACTCACTCACATGAACTCTCATGTACTCACTCACATGTACTCACTCACATGGTCTCACATGTACTCGATCACATATACTCACATGGACTCACTCACATGGACTCTCATGTACTAACTCACATGTACTCAATCACATATACTCACATGGACTCACTCACATGTACTCACATGTACTCACTCACATGGACTCACATGTACTCACATGTACTCAATCACATGTACTCACATGGACTCACTCACATGTACTCACTCACATGGACTCACATGGACTCACTCACATGTACTCACTCACATGTTTGGGGGTTTTGTGTTGCAGCTGCAGAGAAAAAGGCACATAGGGAACGATATTGTGGCCATTGTGTTCCAAGAAGAGAGCACTCCCTTTGTCCCAGACATGATTGCTTCAAACTTTCTTCATGCTTACATCGTGGTCCAAGTGGTCAACCCCTGCTCTGACAACATTAACTACAAGGTAAAAACACATCCACCCTTCATACAAATGTTCTTTTTAGGATCGTGTTCGGCATCAGTAGTCGTTCTTCGCTGTTTAGGTGTCCGTGACAGCAAGGGATGACGTTCCTTTCTTCGGACCAGCTCTTCCAAACCCTGCTGTTTTCAAAAAGGTGAGACCGCTAAAATCTGAAAACCTGTGGTCTCGCTTCTTAATTGCTCATCTTCTAGTTTCCAGTGGTGTATTTCAATGATCTGCTTGTTTTAGGGCTGCGAATTCCACGAATTCTTATTTACCAAGCTGATCAATGCAGAATATGCATGCTACAAAGCAGACAAATTTTCCAAACTGGAGGTAGGTTTTGGAGCACCATTCTGTACTTTTTGAAATTTAAACCAAAGTTAATAAACAAAACCTGCAGCTGATCCAATGTTTTTGGTGTCTCAGGAGCGTACAAGATCGGCCTTGCTGGAGACCCTCTATGAGGAGCTCCATGTGAAGAGCCAGGCCATATTGGGAGTCGGAGGAGAGGAGGACAAACTGGAGAATGGGAGTGCAGCAGGAGGGGGCTTCTTCGAGTCCTTCAAGGTAACTGGAGTTTCAGATGCAGACTGGAAACAAAAGCCAACAGTTGAAATCCCAGAAGACCAGGAAACAAGCAGGCTTACAGCATTTATGATCTTTAACACCTCTCCTGCTGTGTTGATTTGCAACATTGAGATGTAGTTTTGGGTCGGAACCAAAGCTTGGACCACCCGCTCTTGGTTGTAACTTAAACAGGGCCCTTTAGAGGGACATTGATTTTCTCTCCACAAAGTGAAACGCTTTTATTCATCAAAAACACTCCAAACCAGGACCAGCAAACCAAGTGCATCCTGTCCTGCTGGTGACCTTCCTCCTCCTCGGCTGCAGCTGAGTCTTTTCATGGCCTCTCTCTGAGACCGTGTTGGGTGTGGTCGGGTCTGAGGGCCCTGAGCTGATATGAAGATGCTGCTGTCTCCGGCTGGAACTCGCCTCTTCCTCTGCTCCTGTTGCTGAAGCATCCTAACTGTAACTCGATGACCTGCTCTCTGCATGCTGCTGACAGAACATCCTTGGGAATGGATGGATTTCTTTCACTCTTTCATGTTTTTCCACATCTGCTACTGAACTTCTTTAACTGGGTGTGGTTGACCTTCTGTGAGCTGCTTGGCCTTTGTACTCTCTTCTCTTGCCACCTACCTGAACACGACTCCTTTGAACCCACTTTGGGCTCTGAGCTTTGTCTGTCGCTTCCTCTTCTGTCAAGATCAGAACTAGATCAGTGCTCTTGGCCTGCAGTGGCCCGTGTTCAGGGACGGCCCTGAGGATCCTCTCTGCCTGTATTTATGCCACACAGAGAAGTCACCAGGGTCTGAATGTGTCTCCTCCTCCTCATCATCTCTTTCTGTAGCGAGTGATCCGTGGTAGGAGCCAGTCTGTGGATGCTGCGAGTCTAACTTTCAAGAAGACATACACAATCTCCTCTACTGTGAGTGGTACCTTTAACGACAACGCTACAGAGAGCCCCAAATTCCCTGGGATAGTAAGTACAGACCCGCAAGTCTTCCTCTGCACTTCCACTAGTTAATGTCTCATCTTCCTCGCCTGCCTGCTGCTCTGACATTTTACAGAGGTGAAGCACAGCGTGACACGCTTTGGTATAGAACTCCACTCACGTTGCTGTGGTTGCAAATTCTGAAACTTCCTGCAGAAAATGGGATTAAAACAGCTTTTTACCGTTTGTGCTCACTTGATTTTGTGTTTTTGTGGAGTCTGCATGTTAGATGAAGCAAGCATGCAGACTTCTGATCACTAATGCCATGAAAACCCTGAAATATTGCGGTGGTTTCTTGATGCATTTGTTGATTTTGCATAACTTAAATGCAGCCCAGTTGGATTCCATGCTTAATTTAGCCCACATAACATTCAATTCAATTCAAATTCAAAAATACTTTATTAATCCCAGAGGGAAATTATCCAGCGTACATGTTGGTCCCAAAAATCATGGTCCATTCCAAGCCCAAGTCCAGCCAAATCCCAACTAGCCCAATTGAGGCCCACGTGGGCACCAGCTGGACGTGTTTGCAGGGATCACTATGTCACCGATAGATCCAGATTCACCAAACCTGCAGTTAACCCATGACGCTGTGTTGACATGAACTAACTTGGTGTACGTCTCGTTCTGCTGGTTTTAAAATCTAATTTTCATCCTCTTCCTCACAGGTGTACGGTTCACATAGCAAGTCCTCTGTTCTCACTGCCATGCAGCAGCTTGTGTTACGCCCAGGCCGCCCAACTGTCTCATTTACAACCCTGACTTTACACATGCTTTTGTATTTTGTTTGACTGACATGACTTACTGCATGAAATCTCATATATATATATATATGTGTGTAAGACTCATATTTTTCTCTCCTCTTCTCTCTCCCTTCACCATCCACTCTACCCCCTCCATTCTATTCTGTCTGTCTCTCCCTGTTTCTCTTCTTTCTGTTTGGCTCAGTCATTGCTTGTCCCAGGCAAAAGTCCCAGTAAATATGGACGTCGAGGCAGTGCCATAGGGATAGGAACAGTAGAAGAGGTTCATGTCTGATTCTACCTACTCCTCAACTCCTAACCCACCATTTTTGCTGCTTTGACCTTTGATTTGTCTGCATGGCTCCTCTGCATCATGTGTCTCTTTGCATTTAAAGTTAGAATGTGGAACATTTAACTCACTTACTGCCAATGACGACAAATGTTGTCATTTAAAATCCAACCGTTTACTGCCAATTTCGCATGTTTTTTACTGTGCGGGCGTCGGACGAGCCCCCACACCGTGAGAACAAACATCCCAGCTCTAAAGCCGATCTTAATCCGCCTGCGTCACATGTCACGTGATCAGGAAGCAGAAATCCACGTGTTAGGAGATCATTTTGGGCCGCTGCGGTAAACAAAGTGAGGCGCGAACAGAAAAAGCTTCTGCCGATCACAATTCAACAACGGCTTATGAAAGAACGGATAACGCTCAAAACATGCAGATTCTTCCTGATGTAAGAGGCGAGTCTCCGCTTTGTTTTGGTAGTGTTGGCGTCGACATCATCCTAGAGCGCAACGTTCTGTGACTCTTAAAATACCTGTGAAAATGCTGAAAAACGCTGGCAGTGAATGAGTTAATAAAAAGCAACATTTAAAAAAATAAAACCTCCTCGGGGCGTTTAGAGGTGTGCACAACAAGTGTACAGTTTCTCCTTTAAAAGTTGTATTAAAAAATTTAATTTTTTCATTTTGTCGGGCACAACAATGGATTTATGTTTATATCTACCAGCCACTAGAGGGCACCGTTGTGTTAATTAGTCCGCTCAGCAAGGCGAGGCTGGGACTGGGTAAAATGGCGGACTTGACAAAGCAAGCAGCTGATTCTGAGCCCAGATGTTCTCACGGTAAATACTGTTGTAAAGTAAACGTAGTAGGAATGAGAATGAGACCTTCTCTGAACGTGGTGCTGGAACGTGAGCCAACATCCCAACGGCTGCAATACCACCTCTGAACACCAGAGTTCGCCAGTGACCATGTTCCATATTCCACCTTTAAGCTAACGCTAATCACTGGGAGGCTAGATACGCTGATCGCTGTCAACTTACAACTTTATTTAAAAAATAATTGTTACAATTTTACTCAAATGCTATTTTCTAAACTTTAACACACACACACACACACACACACACACACACACACACACACACACACACACACACACACACACACACACACACACACACACACACTTAACTTTTACAGACATTTGCATTAACTACATATGTTACAGAGAAACACTGTTTTCCAGAACTGGGTTTGTATGATAAATATGATATTTCACACTAGCATTAAGATATTAAGATAAACACGTCCTTCTTTACTCCAGAAAGGCTCATATTCTTCAGTATTTATAACTTCATTTCAGTGCTAATGATGCTTCCTTTGCTATGATTAATATTAATAATTGAGTGCCTGCTTATGGAGAGAAGAGAGCTCCTCTCTTAGAAGCCACATCATATTAAAGGCCTCTCTTGAATTTTTAATCGGAGAGCTTTATAAAGGAGACTGGATGAAGAAAGCAGCTGCTGAGAGAGCACTTTAGCGGCGGGCCCAGGAGCCTTCAAACCCGCCTTTTATCTGTGGCTGTGCACCGACAGGAAGACCAGCGCTCATCACTCAGCTCCTAAAGGCACCTCACTGTTGTAACTGATGGAAAGGAGCAGCAGTAGAAACCAGCCTGATAGTTCAGGTTGAGGTGTATTAGAGACCCTGACTACTTGTTTCCTCTCCCTGGCAGTCTTTGATCATCCCAGGAAAAAGCCCAACGAGGAAAAAGTCTGGTCCTTTCAGCTCCAGGCGGAGCAGTGCCATTGGCATCGAAAACATCCAAGAGGTCCAGGAGAAAAGGCGAGAGACGATTCCAGTTTAATGTTTCCGTGGAAGCCATGATCTTCAGCTGTAAAATGCTTACGATAGCTTTTTAAATGCATTTAACACAGCAGTAGAGATCCTTCTCCAAACACCCAGAAGACACCAGACAGTGGTCATGTCTCTCAGGATCCAAAGTCTGACAACTCGGACCAGAGCTCTCCTGAAGTCCTGACAACAGCCAAAAACAGGTGTGTATCTTCCCGGAAGTGCTGGCTGCCCTCCTCTTCCTCGTCAGCAGCAGAACAAATGTGTGTTTGGGAATAAATGAGCGGCTGTGTTGAAGGGTGGTAACCCGGGGTGTAGCTCTTATCTTTGCAGCAGGACCCCGTCCATCCCTGAAGGCCACAGTCTCTCCCGTTCTTCCTCAAACGCCAGCAGCTTTGCCAGCGTGGTGGAGGAAAATGAAACGGAGACAGCAGAGGACTACGACACAGGCATGGTGAGAGGGAGGTCCAACTCATACGTGTTAAAATGTCCACACGTCCGTGGAAACGTGTACAAAATGAACGTGTGTTGGACATCTAGCAGCTGAACAGTACCTAGCATCGCAGCTAGGAATCTAATAAAACCTTCATGTCACATTCTGGCATCGGCTGCATATCCTGATCATTAATTTCAATATTCAGACTAATGTCACGTGTGTTTCCATAGAAACAAGAATATTTCTAAGTGGTGTTTGCCCGGGTGTGCGTGATTTCACGTGTCTCTTTGCACTCTCCAGGAGAGTCTGTCATCTGCTGGGACTCCTCACAAGCGGGACTCCCTCACGTACAGCAACTGGCTAGAGGACAGCATCAGCTGCACCAGCAGCTACAGCCGTGGAAGTTCTCCTGGTTAGCACCGTCAAAATCACCTTAAACAAAGTATTACAGAGTTACTTGGCGAATGCTAGTGCAGGTAGATAGGTGGGTAGATGTTTATGTGATGTTCAGGTTAAATGTAACCAGCGATCAGCACGCCGGGCTGCTGCAGCTGCAGCTACAGGGTGACGTGACGGCTGTAGAGGGAACAGATGGCCCAGTAGGCTGATGTAGGCCCAACACACAAGACCCAATGAGAGCTCAGCTGATCGCCCCCTGGTGGGACAGAAATGATTCTGCAACGAGTAAATCTGGGATCATTAAAGAGCAAGTCACCCCCTACCAGAGTCTAACTCCACTCCCACTTCATGTTTGAAAAATGCAACACATGCTGTTGCCTGGCAGACCAAGAGGGCGGAGCTGCTAACAAATACACACACACACACACAGGCTCACGACAGCATTGTGACATCATAATGTACCTGTTTACATCATAGCATACCTCTTAGCCAATAGCGGTGGCAGATTTAAATTAAAACACAGTGCAGAGTTTTTACCTGACAACGGTACAACCCTGACAGTTTTAGGCAAAATATTTAAATTTTAACTAAGATGCACTGAAGTACCAAATTGTTGACGACACGTGTCTGCAGCACGATTAGACACTCGTTTATTTAGTTTATCAGCAAAAAAAGTTTATTTGGGGGTGACTTGCTCTTTAAGGCTATTCAGCCAGATTTAGAGGGAGGGAAACAGAGGTGACCACAACACACACACACACACACACACACACACACACACACACACACACACACACACACACACACACACACACACACACACGGGAGTCAATGAGGATTTGCTGTCTTCTGACACCTGCCCCTAGTGGATGAGGGTGGAACTGCAGTTTTTGTCACTTCCGTGTTTGCTTTAATTTCAGACCCGCATTGTGGGGACTTGGTCCCTATCCTCATCCTAAGCAAACGTTTAGCAACAGTGGAGAGGAAAACTCTCTTTTAGCGGGACGAAACCTCCAGAAAAACGCTGTTTGTTGTTGTCAGATGTGTTTTCTTTGTGGGACTCTGGTAGTTTGTCCTAAAGCTGAAGCACAAGCAGTCGGCTGCTTCTCGTTCTGATATCATCGAGGGGAGAAGGTCTCACACCAGCGGTGTTCTGCTGCTAAATACGTGAGCGTGTTCCCATCACAGAACATCACAAAGACAACTAAAACCAAAACCGCCTCGACTGAATGGCTTTATTTCTGTGGCTCTTCAAACTCAATAACATTTGGCCTTAACTTGGTCTTTTTGTGTGTTATTTATGTAGAAATGCTCAAAAGCTTTTTTTGGGAAAAAACAATGAAGCTCCATAAATCTGAGATTAATTTCAAAGTAAGTGAGTCAGGCAACAGTGGTCATGTGTGAGGTTTAACACCCAGCTGCTTTGTTCTTCAGGACCCGAGAAACCCGATCGAGGGAAATCCAGCGACATACGAATCAAACTGGAGCGGTCACACAGCCATCAGTCCTCCGTGAGTCGCCTGACTTTACCTTCCTGGAATTCTGTATTGCACTCTTCCTGTCGTTCCTAATGCTTCCTTCTGTTGCTCTTCCATGTTATTTGTGCAGAACTGTTAGATTCACCCGCCTGATTCTGCATCTTCAGGTTAGAACAGCTGCTCATGCATGCCAGAGTCAGAAAAGCTACTTGTGAGCGCGTCTTATTCAAGTATTTGGGTTTTAATCATGAGGCATCTGTCTTATCCCAAAAGCAATCACATAGTCGCACTCTGAGACTTGGATTTAACTTGACCTGTGAAAAGGAGAACAACGATGCAGATGAGTGAGGAACATCAGGAGTCGGGCCAGTCCGCTGCTCCGGGACGGCTGCAGGACGCTGGACAGGACGACGTACGGGGGACAGCTTGTTCCTTCCACTCTTCGCACGTCTGATGCCTAGCTGTACACTTCCTACCTGACGCTTGTCTCTAATAGTGCACAACTAATCTACGACTGTAAACGTTTTAGTTGTGCAGAAACATTCACCGGGTTACTTGTCTTGCTGGAGTCGCGGCGTGCTGCTGGTACTCTGGGTTGTTTTAAATGAGAAGGCGGTCCTGTTTGAGCAGAGAAGGGTGTCGAGTTCAGTCGTCCGGGACGTAGCTGGAGGGTTTGTTGGGCATTTTTCTTGTGTTCTGTAGATGTTTCACCTTTTTGCCAACCATGTTTTTTGCTATACGAGCGGTTTTTACAGTTGAACGATGCACTTTTCTCTGTCGACCATTTCACAACAAACTGAGCACTTCTGTGTATCCGGATGAAAGTAAAGACACTTTCTTTTTCCTTTTTTAAAGTTTATTTACATTTATTCATAAATGAAACAAAACAAGAAGGGTCTTTCTAATTTTATTCTGATTTATTTATCAGTGTGTCCGTGGCCAAACATGTAACATGTTAGATTTAAGCGACAGTAATCTCCTCAGCATGGATGAACTAACGCTGCTCTCTGACCCACACCCATTCATGTTTTTATTTATTATTTAGGGTTCCAGTGAAATGAAGCTTAAGGCAGATGCCTGTAAACTCCATGTGTGTGTGGCTTTGATGTAAATGATAATGCTAGCTGTAAAACGTGTCTGCTTCAGGGGTCACATCCTGCTCGGTAATTCAGAAATGCAAACATAATCAAAGTGTGTATATTTATTTGCTTTAAAGGTGGCTAAATAAGTCCAAACACAACTACTGATGATGTAAATACACATTTATTTAAGTCTACTGTAAAAGAGCTTTGGTTTTAAAATGAATGGAGCAACATCTGAACATTACTGCCAAAAGAATAACAAACTATTTATGCTTTCTTCTTCCTTTGAAATGTTCTTTAATATAATTTAGAGTAAGTTTTAAATGTACTCAGACTGTTCTGTAAAGGGGAAAATCTCAGTGTGTCCCATTCAGTTGCCTTATGTCACAAAACAATGGTGGAAGTAAACACTTAGCAGTCATCCGTATCTACAAAAATGTTTTCTTTTTGCTTGTTTTACTGCAAATAAATGTCTTCAGACGCTTATATTGTGCTGAGCTCTGTCTTTTTCATCCATCCATCCCTGGGTCGACAACACATTTTGCTGGACGATATATTGTTCAACGAATTATTGACGAAAAGCGATATTATTGTCGACATCATCGAGACAAAATAACCCCTTATGTCATGTTAATATACCATAATATTGCAAGTACACCCTTTAAAATGCAACTATTTAAACCTTTGTTTAACAAATGAATAAATAAAACAAAGAAACAGAAAATAAAAAAGGAATTTCACTCTGTTAGAAAATATTGCACCAAAAACAGTAAAATAGACCCTGTCTCAATGGTCTATCCAGAGTCAACAACCAAATCTGCATTTCAATAATGATAATAAATAATAATAATAGAGTTGCACATTTGTTAACCTCAATATTTTGAGGCTGGAAAAATGATTGATTTCATTTTCATCTGTCGTACAGTTGATTGATTATCGTCCCAACCCTATATTTAATTATCGGTCTGTCTAATTAGCGATGCACCGTTATTGTCTGACTCTTAACCTGTTTAACCCGACAGACCCAGTACTGGGTACGAGCGCACTTCCTTTGTCAAAATTGCCCCAAAATCATGCTCAATATTCACCAGACTACAGCCGTGGGCAAAAGTTAAGAGAATGACACAAATATTAGTTTACACAAAGTTTGCTGCTGAACTGCTTTTAGATCTTTGTTTCAGGTGTTTCTGTGATGAATTGAACCATGATGTCACGCTGTGAGTGGTGGGGGAGGTTAGGACCCAAGATGCAGAACCAGGGAAACACGAGGCAGGAGTTGGAAAAAATGTAAAATCCTTTATTAGGAGTGATTGTTCAAAAGTAAACCAAAGGCAGGAAGCCGAAGCCCAAAATCCAAAAATCCTAGTATGAAAAACCAAGAGACCTAGAGACAACAAGCTCAGCTAAAGAGCTGACCTGGAGACCTAGAGACAACACATTGTGACGCAGACAGGGTTTTATACCCGGGGGCAGGATGATTGGGAGATGAGCTGCAGGTGTGTGAGGAGAGAGAACCCTGGTGAAATTAATCTACTAATCAGTGAGAGGAACCTACGCTGAGGAGGGGAAATAAAACATGACCTATGAATAATAACCAAACCTAAAGACTAGAAGAACAAGACAAACTAGAAAAATTTGCATTTATTACAGAAATGCTGTTTGAATGCTGGAGAGCTGAAACTGTAAGCTGAAGCTGCTGAACAGCTGAATTGAAGCTGAAACTAAGCAAAAATGAGCTGAATGTCTTGAAAGATGTAGAAGCAAAAAGCACCAACAAGCAAATAAAGCACAAAAAGTAAGGGAAGAATAGAGAAAAATAATGCTAAATAGCAAAAAACTGAAATCTGTGAACATTGTATAAAAATCTGGACAGCTAAAATGTCTAAACACCTGTTATTTCAGTAGGACTAGTTTAACAGTTTAATCTTTACATTTAGCTGAACTGTGAAATTAGTTTCTGAATTCAGCATACAATGCTAACTGCTGAAGCTGCTGAATAGCTGAAGTGAAGCTGAAACTAAGCTAAACTGTCAAAATGAGCTGAATGAATTTAAAGATTTAGAAGCAAAAAACACCAACAAGTGTAATAAAGCTCAGAATATAGGTGAAGAATGGATAAAAAATGCTAAACAGCAGAAAACTTTAATCTTTGAACAGTGATTAAAAACTCTAAATTTGAAATGTTAAACAGCTAGCATTTGAATGAGAATAGTTTAACGGGTACACTTTTACAATTGGCTGAACTGTGCATTTAGAAATATTTGCTGATATCTGAAACTGATAGATTAACATATGTTCACCCCGGGTTTCCACAGGAGCCGTCAGCAGCACGTTACTGCAGCAGCACGTCTTGCTCGCGTAAGCTGCTGCTTGGCCCCTCCCACGAGACGCGAAGCAGCAGGGGAGCAGCTGTCACCGACCGAGCATGAAGTCACACGAGTGACTTCGTCAGTAAACACAACAACAAGCAGAAGAAAACTACAACATGGTTTGTGTTTTATGTTCTGTCCGTTTTATAATCGCCAATACGGACCTGAAAAACAAAGGAGACTGCTAGCTAGGTGATAACTTCTCACGGGGCCGCACAGTTAGTAACATTTTTTAAAGTAAAGCAACCGGAAGGCAGTACGTTCTTTATTCTGAAAATCTCGGTAGCTTCTCTCCGTTTCCGCATCCGATTTCCTGTCTTTCCTTCCCCAAAAATGTGGAACTTGACCCGTTTCAGAGGTGTCGCGCGTAGAAAATAGAACCGGCACGTAAAGGCCGCGACATGCTGCTCCTGAGACGTGGCCGACTCGCGCTGCTGACGGCTCTGGTGGAAAAGGTTCTGTTGACCACAGCGGTTCCTATCAGCAGCTATGACGTGCTGCTGCAGTAACGCGCTGCTGACGGCTCCGGTGGAAAAGGTTCTGTTGACCACAGCGGTTCCTATCAGTGCTGCTGACGGCTCCCGTGGAAAGCCGGGGTCAGACTTGATATGAGATGGTTGATGCATGGTTCAAAGTGTAGGAAAAAAGTAGCGGCTTATAGTCCGAAAAATACGGTACACTTGAAAACTGTGTATGATCTTACCTTATGGGGAGAAAAAAGTTTCAAAAGATTTGTGTGTGTGTGTGTGTGCGTGCGTGTGTCTAGTGTAGAGGGGTGAATATGTTACTTTTAAGTGTAATATATTACCTTTAATTATGACCAATAAGCTGTGATATTCTATATATATGTACAGAATATCAACCTGCTTGGTCTTTAGATTTTTAATCAGAACATTCTGGAGTTCTTTGCTTTTTCAGTGATCAAACACACTTCGTATTAATTCAGACAGAGTCAGGTTTAGAAAGTTATTTTCTAAACAAACTAAAAACGAGACGAATGTGATGGATGGATCTAAGTGGATGGGATGTGATGTATGGTGATTGAATGGTGTGTGTTTATCAGAACCTTGTATCTAGAAGAACTGAGTTCTGGGTGTGAAAAAGAATTTGGTCTGCATTAAACTATGAAGTTGGTTCTTATCAAAACGGCATCAGACGCAACCATGTGTGTCTACCTCACCCTTTTGGAGACCCTGTTCGCGGATCTGGAGGTCAGGAAGGTCGGATTAGCTCTGGGCACCGAGGTTCAGTAGATTAACAGCAGCACCGACGCTCCAGTCCAGAGATGTCGCCAGGCACACAGGTTAAAACTAGTTTGGTTTGCGTCTAGAGCAGCTGTTTCTGAATAACTGAAGGAACAGTTTTGCTGTGTCAGCTGTAGGCGGCTTTTAGCTCGTCGAAAGCTTGTCAAGAAAAGCGGTGGTTAGAGTTTTCCTCCGATGGCCAGTCAGAGTTAGCTCAACTAACAGGATGCTGAATCTTTCAGAATGCTGGAATGCTGAATCACTCTGTAAGTGATTCTGTTTTAATATTCTCATATTATGATTTACTTGGCCAACCGGAACGTGCCATGTTAAGGGGTGTTAAACAACAAACCCTCAGAACATCACGCCTTCTTTCAGATACAGGATGCTCTGATGCTCTGATTTGTGGCTAAGAAAATATCTATGTGCAGTGACGTTATACTTTAACTTTTATTGATCTCTAATGAACCTTGTGTCTGAGTGTAGATAATGATTCACTTGTTAAACCAAACATTGCTGATCATCATAATATTCATTTCAACTTCAGTAATTCAAGCACAGATTAATCAACCTTCTTAATTTAAGCACAGATTAATCAAAACATTATTATTATTATTCATCAACCATTATTGTCCATTCGACCATATGATTATTTACTATTATAACGGTTCAGTCCTTTATTATGTGCAGGACAGCCAAGCAGACAGGCTTGGCAGAGATGAACCTTGGGAAGCAAACATGATGTTGACAATCTGAGTGTAAACATGCAGCGTCGAATATTTTCCTGTAGCTTGGAAGATTAAGAGATGCACGGAGGCAGATTCATGTCTGTAGATGACCGGTGGCATGTAGGTCAATCTGTGGGTGAAACCTGACGTTACACTAGATGTGTGTGTGTGTGTGTGTGTGTGTGTGTGTGTGTGTGTGTGTGTGTGTGTAACTCTTGATTTGTAACTTGTGTTTACATTTTCGTGTGTAACTTCAGCTCCTACACATACAAATAATTGAACACACACACAAAATCACCTGGTAAACACGAACAAAACTACATTACACACAGATCAGTTTACAAGTACAAAAATCCCTTTGAGACTATTTTCTCACCTGACTGATTTGTGCGTAGATGGTGCGTTTGAATGCTGGGTGGAAGCTGGGAAATATGAATTTCCTATGGAATTAGTCTAAATTAGGGATGAGCCAGACACTCATTTCAGACGAGTATCCGGTACGGATAAAGCATTTTTGACGAGTACGAGCATGAAACGAGTAAAACTCGTAAATATCTGTAATCGTGCTGAAGGAAAATCCTCATTGGGTAACTGACTGTCTTTACGCTCTGTGATTGGCCAGTCACATAGAGCGCCCGCCCCTCCCTACACGCAAAACTCTCTAGCCGGCCGGGAGCGCAGTCCGTCCGGCTCATCCACACACACACACACACACACACACACAGACAGTAACGGATCTCTCTGTGATTGCTTCACTGTTGCTCACCTTTCTTCAGTTTTCCCTAGGTTTTCTTCAGCTCGCCTCTTTTTCGGTTGAATATTTAAAGTTACTTTTCTCGTAACTTACCTGGTGCATTTGACAAGACAGAGCTGACGTGCTGCATCACCCCAAATTTCCACTACCTCCGCTCCGCCCCCGCCTTCCGCAGCCGCTCGCTTCTGAACTCAATTTTTACTGGTACCCGCTCTACAACGGCTCCGCTCCGGTGCGGAGACCTGAGGGGGGCAAACAAGCATGCGCGGGATTTTCGAGATCTTGCGATACAGTCCGAGCAGTAAATGCGGAAGTTGGATCCAAACACCCGTTGTGTGGGAGAAGCATCGACATGAACTGTTTAATCTGCCCATCATTTGTGTTGAGAGAT